GATACATGGCTGCCATCAATGAGTGATGAGCACGGATGCCGGGCAACACGATTCAACCCAGTGACGAGTACCTCAACTACATTACAACTCTCTACCATGAGGTTCAACAGAAAGACATACCCTGTTGTGGACCACCTTGTGTCCATGCTACCCGCGTAATCTGGTCATAGTAATCGACGACTGCTCATTGCTTCCCCCACTAGGTCACTCTGCCACGTAGCGCAGCACTCAAAGCGCGGCCCGCCAGTGCGCTTTGTTGGCCTTGCCATATAGTGCGCAAGCGCGCCCACTACTCGTGTGATGTCGTACCTTGTGCACACACTTAGGTTCAGCAGGCTTCCCACACACTCGATGTATGGCAATCGCTTTTTGACGAGGCTCCCCCGTGAATCAATCGCGCGTCCCGAGAGGAACTCCACGCCCGCACGTTCGCATGTTCGGTAACGTCTGGCGAGCTCCCCCTTAGCTTCTTTTGCGTCATTGAAAAGGTGCGCGCCTCTTTACTGCGTGTCAGCTCCATTCTGACGACGTACGTCGCCGCCCCAAAATCGCGCACGTCAAACTTCTGCGCCAAGTGCGTCTTTACCTTTGCAATGCACTCCGCTCCCCGGGCTGCCACGAGGATTGTCGTCCACTCGTACCACGAGATAGACCCGCTCCTCAGCTATAATCTTCGTGAAGAGCGTTGCGTCCGCCATGGACGCCACAAAACCTTCCGGCACATGTGCCACCGCTTCCGCTTCGCCTTCCGCTTCGCCTTGCGCAACCCGTACAAGGTGCGCTTGAGGCGGCAGACCATCTCGGGCCCCTTACTCGTACCCCTGCGACTGTTGCATGTAGATTTCCTCCTCAGCTCCCCGTCAAGGAACGCCGTCTTGCCATCCAATAATGCAGCTATAAGTCGTATTGCGCGACCATTGCCACCATCGCACGCAACGTTGTGTACTTGCTCACGAGAGTGTAGACCTCCTCGAAGTCAATCCTTTGCTTCCGCAAATAGCCCTTTGGCACCAACCATAATTCCACAATCATGTGAGCGCCCCGCTTGATCTTCTTGTTAAAATCATTCACTCATGCTTGTCACAAGCTAGGGTCTAACCACCCTTACACATAAGCGCCTTCACAAAGAAGCGCCTTTTTTCCCTCAAGCATCTCTTAGAATGAATATCATCACGGACATGAGTCCGAAGTAGCTCCAATCCCGTAGCTAGATGTACTCTAGCCTAGGTCGGGTCTACTTCCACCACCCATTAGTCGGTTCAACTATATGGACTCCTTTCCATCAACCGGTTACTCTATCACTCACAATATGGCCTATAGTCCGCTTGGACTTGTGATCGGGGCACTATGCTACAAGTGGTCGGTAGTACCAAACTTCTAGTGGTCGGGGTATTACACTACTCGATTCGACTCACATCTAACGATCCACCATCCGAGATAAACGCAATCCGACGGTCGATACTCAACCAATTCTCTAATTTTACGGTCGATATAAAACGACACAAATCGCAATCCGACGGTCAATATTACCCGACACAATCCACGATCCTACGGCTCAAATCTATCGAGCCTAACTCAACAATGTGGCCGTCAATCAACTCCGTTTCTCAACCGTTGTATAGTCAGTTCATGGAGCGCGCTTCTCCCAATTCCGGTTTTTCGACAATCTCCGAATCTTGTTCCCCAATACGGAAACCATCTTCTCGTTTATGGACCATCCGCCGAAGGTCACTCTTTTCTACCCCCAAGGCTTCCTAATACCTTGCGGTTTTGGATGCTCCTTCGTCGCGTTGGTTGCTCCTCCGCTTTCACGTCCGCCTCCAAGTTGGCGCAATACCCTGCTGCCCGCCGAGCGCGGGAGAGGTACATTTGGTAGTCGGTGGTTGAATTTCTTGGTCCACCTCCATCTCTTCCGGTTTGCCTCCGCTTGGCGCTCAAGATCTTAAACCTCCCCAAATTAGCCGGTCCTGGATTTGCCGTGCTAACTCGCTCCCAAGAGTCCCAATAGGGGCCCCTTTTTGACCACCACCGGATCTCGTGCGCCATCTTCCTCCGCCATGGGCGAATCCTTTTACAGTTCGGAGCTAAGCTTGACAACCCCTTCTTCGCTCGCTCCCTCGTCAAAAATGACGTTTCGGCGGATGATGAGCTTGCCAACTCTCTTCCGGAGCACACAGTACGCTTTGGAGTTTGGGAATGTCTCAAGGGATACTCTTCGATTGCTGAGCGAATTTAACTTCCGTCTCCGGTTGCTTTGGCATGTGCGGAAACGCCGGGCCTCAAATACCCGCATGTGCCCCACTTTCGGCTTCTTGCATGAGGACGTAGCAAGAAGCTCAGTTGCAAGGGCCAAGAGAGAGCACCACTTGCAGAAAGAATCGCAAAATGGCGTTCAAATTCTTTCATGTCTATTGAGTCTACAAAGTTCCTTTTTGGTGCAAAACGCACTAATGTAACGGAGTCTCGTGTCACACTACAAGAAAAAGCTACGTATCGTCGACATATTCCCGGTGGATTCATTGATCAATGCAAATCGTTTTCAATGTAGTGTTTGTGCTAATGTAACGCCATATTGCGTAACAACTAGCAACGGTACGCCCAAGAATGTGTGTAATCGTCGAGTCGAAAAGTCTCAAATTAATGGATTGTAGTCAAGCGACATGACGCCTTATCGGCGCGCACAGATATGCTGGCACAAAATGAGCCGTCGATAAGTCTTTTGACACTCAAAATGCGACCATATGCTGGATTAGGTTGCTCTTGAGGAGCTTGGTCGCTGATGTTTGGATTGACCCAGATAGGGGTAGAATTGGACTTAATCAAGGCTAAAGTAGACCTAGCTACAAACACTGTTGAAACTCATGGTAAGGGACTCGTAGTGTAGTTGCTGACTCGTCATCGGGTCTAATCGTGTTGCTCGTCCCCATGCTCGTCACTCATTTATGGCAACCATGCATCCTTAGAATAACACACGAAGCGCCTCACAAGCGGCTTCCATCTCTCCACAGACTTCTCAAGAATGATGTATCACAATAGTGTTTTTCTCCACTATTGTCTCACGGGTCTTTCCCGTTCCACTCGGCTTGGTAGCCTCACTAGCCTAAGTAACACACTACTAGGCTCACTAGCCCAGCTCACAATCACACTGAATCTTAGCCTTTGATATTCTTATTTAAGGCTCACACTGACGGCTGCTCTCAAGCGCCTAACCTCCAAACCGCCTACGATTCAACCGTCCAACCGCCGTACACGAACGCCGGCGCTCACTACTTTAACTCTACCTCGGGCAAGAGCCTAATTACATAGTACTTCGGCTGACCACGATCACCGATTTCTAACAGACGCATGACCAACCATTGACTTGTATTAGTTATCCATTTTTGGCAGCTTTGCTCGACTTAAAAAGGCGATAGGTATTCGGTCGGGCTAAAGGAGTAGACTAGCACTCGATCTCGTGACGCCACCAGAAATACCTACAAAGCCTTTCGGTACAGAGGAATGCCCAACCCAAAAACCGTTGTTTGGCTAGCGATAAAGATGGAAGAGGGATTCAAAGTCTTTATAGAGCCTTTGGATGTTGACAATTTTGTAGTGGTCACAAAGGATGCAACTCTTTGTTGACACACAAAATGTTGTGGAAAGCGATTACGGACCCGGCCGGTAATGCGAGGACGATCGAGAAAGCAAAGGCTCTAATAGGCTCGCAAAGCAAAGGCTCTAATAGGCTCGCACATTAGGCACAACAGCCCCTAGGGGCAATCTCAGCAGCTAAGAATGCCAAGGTAGCTTGGGACGCGCTGGAAAAGAGGCGGCCTTCGAGGCGGCGTTGACCGGTTTTTGGTTTGGGATGATTCAAAATGATTCGATTTTGGACGGCGACCTTTGCGGCAAAACGAGCCATCCGCAGAAAACATATAATATCGAAAATACACCCTCTGGTCCACTGCTAAGACGATGGGCCTCCTCAAATTCCAAATATACATCTAGGATCCTGTTCCGAAAGCGTGGCCTCGACATTTGGGTCCAACACTAGCGTGAGGCGAGTTTCTTGGCACCGATCATAGGACCCCAACTGCACCGCTTCGGAAGGCACAGTGAGTCCATTGGCCCTGCCAAACGGGGGTACCTATCCCTGGCGGGGGGAAGGGCCATATAGAAGTTAGCCCGCTTGACTCGATCTAATCTCCAAGACATTGGTTGTCACGGTCACCTACAAGGGCCCCGGGGGTATACTTAGAGATTCGATTTTAAAAAATGGAGACAAGTCTCTAACTCTATATAACTGTATGCAGACTGAGAGAGTACGTAACCACCAGCCACGCCCAACCCGTAAGCTTCGGGTACAAGAGTAGTGCCCGGTAGGTTGCAAAGTCACTGCCACACCTTCCATTCCCGGCGGGTTAAGGACCACGTGCGCTCTTTTTCGGGCTACGACACCCCGTCAACGTGTGACATCTTGCCACTTTTACAGATACTGCCGCAATTGAAGACCACGCGGCGCCTGTCCGACGGATTCGGAAACGCGCGTGCGTTATCAGGTAAACGACACCCATTCAATGCTGCCACCTTCCTGAACCGACGCTCCGTCTTGACCGGCCCCTTGACCGCCAAGAACGCTCTCGCCTTCTTAACCGTTGCAATCTCCGACAATCCGCCGCGTTGCACCGCCTCCATGCTCACCACACCTCCAATCTCAAATTGGGCAATCCCCCTTTCAAAGGAGATCCTTGCGCCCGCGTCCGTTGCTCGCCGCATTGCGACAAGTTTGCTCCCGCTCCCAGAACGTGCCAAACCTCGTTCAAGGTCACCTTGCCCGCTCCGTTTGGCGTCTCACACTCCAAGACCACTTTCCCAATCCTCACCGCCGTCAAGGCTTCTCCTCCAAACCCCTCAATCTTCTCCGCACGCGCAAGCCGCTCGTAGCTTGCAAAGTGCCTCTTATCCGGCGTAATGTGTTGAGTGCTTCCCGAGTCAACAAGCTACACATTCGCCGGCACCCGCGCCTCTTTGCGCCACGTTGTAAACGCCACACCGGCAAACTCCTTCCCGTCCGGGCGGTCCTCACCGCCGCTCTTTGCACCACCCCAGGGCTTCCTGCACACCGAGCTTATGTGGCCCCTCTCCCCACAATTGAAGCACTTCGCGTTCCGCTTCCGGCAATGGGCCCGGACGTGGCCCTTCTCTCCGCAAGCATAGCACGTCCTCGCGTCGGGACCACCTTCACGCCTCACCCCTCCGGTAAAATCACCCCGCTCATTTGACCCCTTGTTAACGGTCTCATACCGTTCCCGGTTGGCAACAAACGCCTTCCCCATACTCTCCTCCTCCTTCTCCTCCGGAGCTCCGAGCTCCTCTTCCAACTTCAACTTTTGCTTCTTCTGCATGAGCTTAGGCTAAATTGAGTCCAACGTCAACTCCTCCTCACTCAACTCTAGGACCTCAACAAGAGTTGGATACTCCTTTGGCAAACCAATCAAGGCATGGATTGCCAACTCTACCTCGGAAACGGTTTGGCTCGCTGTCTCCAAATCCACCTTAATCTCGCGGAACTCTCCCACGTACTCCGCAATGCTCTTCTCTCGGGTCAACGTCAAGCTTGTCAACTTCTTCCTAAGTTGGACAACCCTCGCGTTGCTTGTCTTCTCAAAGTTCTCCTCAAGCTTCTTCCAAGCTTTGGCAGCCGCGGACTTCCCAATGAACAACTTTACATCGGCATCTTGAGTGTGGAGGATCATCAAAGCCTTTGCTTGCCCCAATGCTTTTCTTCCTTCCACCGACTCCGGTTGCTCAATAGCAATATACAACCCTTTGTACTCAAGAAGGGCTCGGAACTTGGCCCTCCATACCGACCAATTCTCACCTCCAAGTTGCGGGATGACAATCTTGTCAATTCCTGCCATCTCCTTTGCGGTAACGCCTCTCTTAGCGCTACACCCAACTTAAGCTTCACATAAAGCTCCTCCTCCTCAACTTCACAACAACCTCATCAACCCCCTTTACCTGGGAAGCGTTGTGGTGGGCCCATAACCTGTTGAAATCAGCGTTTATGCTTGGAACCTACGAGGGATACAACCACCCTCACTCACAAGCGCCTTCACAAAAGGAGCGCTGTAACTCTCACCAAGCATCTATTGGTATGAATATCAATCACATGACAATGGTTCAAGTCAAGTTCAATCCCGTAGCTAGGTCTACTCCAACCAAATCTAGCATAATCCTTAGATACGTGGATACTCTAATCGACGGCCTAGCTTCACTCACTCCAACCAACTACCATCGAGTGATCCACACAAATCCGGTCTTAATCTCTTGCATCTACCTTTTCCAGTTTCTTAATCTGCCAACTACTTGAGCTATTTGGCCTTAATCTGCCAAGCACACAATCCCTTTCACCTTAATCCATCAAGCACTCAACTTCTTTTATCTTAATCTGCCAAGCACTCAGCTCCTCTTCTCTTAATCTATCAAGCACTCAATCCTTTTCATCTTAATCTGCCAAGCCCTCAATCCCTTCTTCCTTAATCTGCCAAGTCTTCAACTTCTTTCATCTTAATGTGTCAAGCCCTCACTCTCTTTCATCTTAATCTCACAAGTATTTATTCTCTTTGTCCTGAATGTCCACAATTTGGCCGTCAACCAACCTTAATCTCAACAGAGAGGGAATGCCGAAGTTGCTTGGTTCTCTACTGAGGAACAAGGAACATTCATTCAATCATTCATTTATTCATGTTATGTATGTCCATAGTCTGCGCCACAAACTTCCAAGCAACTCGGTTCAATATTACAAGTAGACATGCCAGCCACGCAAATTTCTGTACTATTCTTTTGCACTTTGTTGTCCATAATCCTCTAGACTTTAGGTCGAACCAGACAGCGATCCCGTCTTTACTAACGTATATAGAAGCTGACCAGTACACACAGCCACGGCATGCCTGCCCGCCTCCCAATCGCAGCCGCTACTTCAAGACTTGTGCCGTAAGCCCTCAGGTACAGAGCCAGCGTTTCCTGGCGCTTCACTTGGTCCTCAATCTTGCACCTCTCCTCGTAAGTCAGCTCGCACCCTCCGTTCGCGTGCACAACACGTCCGCAGCTACGGTCGAGCTCAGCTTCTTGGTAAACCCGCTCTCTCCTCCAATTGGCGGAGTCCTGTCGGAATGTCTCACCGTGCACGCAGACCCAAAGGAGCACCTTTAGGTGTCCACCACACGCCGCGCCTCCGTCACCTTGCGACTCAAGGATCAAGTCTGCCCCCACGCCCACTTCGGCATTTCCAGGTCTCCCTTCTCTCCAATGTACCTGCACTCACTTCCGTCTCATGGGCTTACCTGAGCCCGCGCCCACCGAAGAACGTTTGGGTGCCCTCCAGCAGCAACGTCCCAACAAACTTTACTATCCCATGCACAATCCCCGCAGATATTGCAGAGTCTCTAGCTGCCTTCCTCCGACAGCTGCTGCGCAAATTGCCGGCCCGTTTTGAGTGACGACCGCTCCTGGGCGCCCTACATCCGCACCCACTCAAGCACCGCAATGTGCCCTCCTCCGGCAGCCTGCCTGCTGGCAAGGCCCACATTTCAACGGCACCCATTTGCATCCGCCCATTGAAGCACCTCGAGGTGGCCTTCTGCAGCCGCGACCCAGCAAACGCGACCGTTCCAGGGGCAGCTCCGATCCCGGAGCCACTAAAGGACGGCCAAATGCCCTCTTTCAGGAGCTTTTTTGCACACATCCTCGCTCCAATTGCCGGTCTCTGCCCTCTCGCACTGCAATTCCGCGATCATGAATGCCGCTTGATCCGCCATTGCTGGAAGCGCGTGCGAGGAAGCGAAGAGCGTCCGATACGACGGTCAGCTTTTGCTTTTCAAGTGGCTTTGCTTCTCTTAGCCGAAGCGCGCGGAAAAAGTGCATGTTCGAACGCGACCTTGCCCCGCATCTTGCCCTGATCGTGCTTCGTCTAGATGATTATGCGGAGCAAGTGCTTGGTTCTTTTCGACCCTTCTTGAATTGTCATTGTTAGAATTCGGTGATTATAGGTCAGCCGAATTACTGTGATTAGGGTTCGGCCCGAGTTAGGGGTTTGAACTAGTGAACGTCGACATGCGTGTACGGCGGTTGGACGATTAAACCGTTAGGCGGTTTGGAGGTTAGACGGTTGAGAGCGGCCGTCAGTGCTAGCCGTAGATGAGGATATCGAAGGCTAAGATTGAGTGTGACTGTGAGCTAGGCTAATGAGCCTAGTAGTGTGTGACCTAGGCTAGTAAGCCTAGTAGGCTAGTGAGCCTAGTGGAACGGGAGAGACCCGTAAGATATATGGTGGTGGAAACCACTATTGTGATACATCATTCTAAGAGAAATTTGTAGAGAGAAGGAAGCCGCTTGTGAGGCGCTTCGTGTGTTCCTCTTAGGATGCATGGCTGCCATCAATGGGTGATGAGCATGGGTGCCGGGCAACACGATAAGACCCGATGACGAGTAACTCAACTACACTACGACTCCCTACCATGAGTTTCAATAGTCATGCCCAGGCATTCAGATTGTCACAGATCGGTCGGAATCTGTTGCAATGTGTACTTAAACGGAACTTTTCAAATTACAAAGGTCAAGCTGTCTTCAGATTTGACCGTCGATCGTACCTGGCGATATATCGATGGCACTTGCGGAAGCAGCTTTGTGTAACTAGGGTGGCCTAAACCTAATAATATGGACACTGTCATGTGCGCGCGCGTGCTAAAGCGCGCGAATGATAACCGCTCCACCACTTTTGCCTACAAGTAGAATGTAAAGTAACAAAAATGTGTAGGATTCGCTGACTATGCGACGGGCCGGACCTTACACTACGTACAGGTCCTAATTCATGACAAGTCAATCACATAGACCGAGTGTCGACAATCGAGCGACGAAACGCAGACTGTTTCAAAGGGAGAAGGAGAAGCACATTTGTATTGCCTTTTTGTTGGTATTTTGTAGAAGGGAGGAGGAGAAAAAGATTCGGAGAAGGACATTCAAGTTCCAAATGCGCAAAGATGGCCCCCGCAGCTCTAGCAAAGCAGCAGAGCGCCTTAGAGCGCCAGCAGTCAATCTTGGTCAGTAAGTTGATGCTGGCCCGGGAGGACACCTGAGAGAGGGATCACAACGAGAAGCTTCTATTGACCAAGGAAACAAGGGATCATGCCAGCAAGGGGCGCCGGGGTTAGAGGCTATGGGTCTGGACTTGGGTCCCTCCAGCATACCAAGAGCAGGGGTTGGGGTTTTTTTCAGATGGCGGTTTGAGGAGGGAAAGTTGGTGGCCATAAGTGATGCTCCCATAGCGGTTGCTACGGGAATGAACAGAGCCGAGGAGGGGCGGTGGTATTCTATGGAGAGGTGCATTGGAAAGTACGCAGTCCCCTGTTCTCGATACTCAGATGTAGTGCTTGACTAGGCTGCAGAGCAACCTAGACGTCGTGGGTTCCATCAACTCGAACCAGGGGACCGAGAGGCCGCAAAATGTGAAGCTTGTAACTAAGTGGGGGGTGGCGTTCGTAGTGACTCCCAGAGTTTGCGAGGCAGGGGAGGAGGCCCTGAACAGCTACAGAGTGCTCAGATACGCGGGTGGCGGGGGCGGCGGGGGCGACAAGGGCGGTGGGTGCGGGGTTAGAGAGGGAAAGCGCGGGGGAGAGGAAGCCATGGGTGGTCGCAGAGGCAGCCCAGAAGGCTCGGGTGGGCTGCAGGGCTTTGAAGCGGGGTCCAGAGGTGAGAGGCGCGCAACTGGGCTGCAGAGGATTCGGCGAGAGGAGCGCTCAGACAAACAAACAGGAACAGTTTGGCGGGAAGGAAGTTTCGGGTGGTTGGAGTAGGCGCGTGGGCCGGCGACAGAACCCGCTAGAAGCTCACGGGGGGCGGGAAGGGCTGGAAGGGCTGTGTTGAAACACAGCATTGTTGGAAGTGATATTCAATCAATCGTGTTCACACAATGAATATGGATTTTTGGAGTCACGGCCTATCTCAAGGTCTACACTCTAGCCTCGTAGGCTCAGTGGACCGTCACCTAGTAAGTCCCGAAAATTTCACTCTATACCGTACATCGACGGCCAATACCGAACCTACACGATATCGACGGTTATCGCCAGGTCATTCGGGTGTAAGGCTGTAACTCGCGCGCATTTAACCGTGTAACCGTAACTACTAGTTACCATCGAATTGCCGTCGACGTCGTGATCCTAAAACCCTAGAGAATCACCCAGAGATTCGGTCCCTAAATGCCCGTATCTCAACAGGCAGGATGGAGCGGAACATCCACGTGGGCTGGTAGGTGAGTAAGAGTGGCAGAGGATTTCTAGCGAAGAGGCAGTCGGAGGGTGGCGCGCATCGATGGCCTGTGTCATGCATTCTAGACCTTGGGCACCAGCCATTGCTGTCGCTAATGCTGCCAGCTCCCATCCTCCTCTGCCGAAAATGCTATTCACCCATTCCAACTACCTGTACATTGCCAACCCATCACGACTATTGCTTGTATCTCCACTGCTGTAGGAGATGAGCCGTACATTGCATTGGGACCACCAACTAATATGGCGGCGCAGCCAGAAGCGGAAAGCAGGGGGCACGGGGCAGGAACGAACCACGCTGCCACAACCCAGGACAGGGGGGAAGAGCAGCAGCAGGCCGCAACCGGGGTGAAAGCGCACCAGTAGGCAGCAAAACGGGTCAGGGGGAAAACGCACCGACAAGGTGCTAACAAGTACGGGGGTTGAGATCACGGTGAGTGCTTAATCTCGTTGCTTTAGGGAAGTCGAGTCTTCTACGATCCGAGCCTATGCCGATGTTAATCGTGGGAGCAACCAAAAGTGGGCACAAGGTTGCTCAGATCTGTCTTACAGGTCAATCATTTCCCTGATCCTGCGATAAAAATGCATCTAAGTATTCACGATTCCCTGTTCGTGACGTCATCATACATTCATTTTCGTCACCGAATTGCTTAGATGCTTGCAAACGGTTCCCATGTATACATAGCACGGACATAGCATTGACTACTTTCAATGAAGCCGTTTATCTCCGACCACAGAGCTGAAGCCAATGTCTCCAATTGCAGGTTTGGACGGCACGACAGGGAGCAAGGCCAGAGCGACTTTGACTGTATGTTTTTGTAGAGACCGAATACGACTGGACCGGATCCAGAGGTTTTTGTTGTCTAGAACTCCCAACCAGCTGAATAGCCGCTTATAAATACGTCCAGGAAGAACCCTAGTAATTTTGTGCAAATTAGGGCAAAGTTGAAAACTACTAGAGCACATTAACGGTACATAATTGCAGGAGGGATTGGGCGTTGTAGATACCGTTAATATCGCTGAATTGCTGCAAAAGTTTCGACAGCAGTCGATGAGTGAGAAATTTTACGCTTTCAACCCAAAAGTAAAGCAAGTTTCTTGTCTGACATGTTGTTGTGCCGCAGGCGCTCATGTCATAGGCGTTATCAAACTGCATCATTGGAATTGTCTATCAACTATAGCACCATGGTTCCCCCGCACATGCACGGGTAACATTGCTTTCTCCAAAAGTCATGAGATACGAATTGCAGAGTTAGGCCGTATTTTGGCCGGCTTGAAATTGCTGGGCCTTCTTGTGTATTCGTGTATGCTGTTGAAACACAGCGTTGTTGGAAGTGATATTCAATCAATCAAGTTCACACAATGTA